TCGCTGTCGCCGCCATGCGCGCCTTCGCGGCGTCGTTGCTCGAGCTGCCGCCGGGTGGAGACGTTTGCGATGCGGGAGTGGCGCCCGACCTCCAGGAGGTCCCCGCCGAGGGCCGAGGCGGCCCCCTGCTCGCAAGCCGCCTGCCAGCGCCCTGACGCTACCTGTAGGCCGTCGTACTCGTGCATTGGGACCGCGGACGACAGGCGAAAAGGTGCGCGGGGGGGGGGGGAAAACAGGTCTCATGCTCATCCGCGCGCGCTTTCTGATCCCGAGTGCTTTTCTCAACACGATATTGTTTTCCCCTGGCTGATGAACCCATGTCTCTACGGACTGCAGCCTTGCAGACAACATTGCCTCCTGCTGGAGATTTGCGTCCAGCGCGGTAGCCTGCTGTCGGGTTTGTTCCGCTTGGACTTGCTCTAAGCGGTCACGGGCAATGCGGACGTCGGAACCGTGTTCTTTATGCATATCAAGAGCACTCCTCTGCGAGGACCGGATGTTCAATGCTGCTCCTGGTTGCAATGCCACAGTTCCTGAATTTCGTGAAGATGTTGTGGATGCGCTCTTTCTACCGATACAACGGGTCTCTCTGTTCCACCAACACCTTATTCATCTGGCCACCTGGCTCTCAAGGGCAACACAGCCTTCCTGAAGTTTAAGGGTCGCACCTCCAACATTGCGCAGCACATTTCCCAACAAATTGGTGCGATGATGAATGCGCGAAGACAATTCTACAAAGGCAGCTTGCACATCCCCTAACACGCCCTGATCCAATGTAAATAACCCATCGCGAAGCTGGTCCAAAGCTAATGACAGCTGTGTGATGGATTGCCAATATACACTAGTCTCGTCCACGTGCATTCTCGCAGCTTGCAGTGCTGTCGCTGATGACTGCTGCTGCGGCACCGCTGTTGTTTGTGATGGAGAAGTATCTAAGGGTACGTTGGGCACGTTTGGGCTCATAACGTGCTGAAGAATGAGGTTTAGGGGTTGAGGCGACGCATCTGTGATGATCGAATAATGATTTGAATAAGGGGAGTTTTGGAGCCTTCGAATCTGAAAAGGCGTGTCATCTAATGGATTGTAACGAGAGGTCATAATGAGAATGGGGACTCCGGGCTCACAAGATTCACACTCAAACCCTCAGATGCATCCCAAAGACAAGGACACTTCACAATGATTGTCGCACTTATCTGCATCAGTGCCTGAGCCACGATGTCACGTGACTTTGGTGTCATCCTGGGCAGGGGCCGTGATTCGATGCCGAGGCTTGATTCTTGCATGTCATCCTGTTCTCAACCACTCAGCAACAAACGCTTGCGGTTCTAGCGGTCCCGACGGTTTGCTTTGTGCTCTCGAGAGATTTGGCTTACCGCCTAGGTTTTGCAGCCCTGCCGGGCAATTTGCAGTGCTTTGCCATTTCACAAGCCTCTAGTTCCTTTCCGTCTCAGGCCATGATTCTCCACCAGCGCTCGTCAATGACTTGGTTCATGTGGAAGCCGCCTTGATTTTGAGCCTACAGCCACGGCGAGCTGAATCCCTCATGTATCGACACGAGGCCGTGCAAGACGAGCGATGGCTTGACGCCCCGGCCTCCAGCCGCCCCCCCGCGCGGACTTAGGTCACAAATGAGCGCCGTAGCTTGCGGGTGCATTGGAAGGCGCATGTACATGTCGCAAAAGGTGTGCATAAGAAATAATTCTGGATGCTGGGAGAGTATATGGCTTATCGTTGAGTTGGGAAAAGAGCGAAATGCTGCCGATAGGTTGTGATGCTGCCATTCAAAGACCAAGTTGCGAACTCATCAACAGGAAAACGTCAAAATGTCATTTGTCGACCTTGGCAGTGTGATTTCCGCGTCCGGCTCCATCACTTCAGAAGTGAACCGTCGGCTTGGGATGGTCAAAGCACATTTCGATGCATTGAACCGCGTATGGACGCATGCACATCTGGCATGTGGTAAGAAGCTACAAGTCCTCTCGTCGTCCATCCTTGGCATACGACACTCATTTATCAGCCGTGTGTGCAACGAGACGGCGTTAAAAAAAAGCTGGCATTGAGAAGCTTTCAATCATTTCTTGGCGCCGACAGCTGCTACTTTTAGGGTGCTTGCGCAGCTTCCACGGGATGATTCCAGGACCAGGCTAAAATGGTTTTCCCCAAACAATGGTGGATGTACTGGCCCACGAACCAATGACGGGTGGTTTTTAGAAGCACACCCAAGATTCATTCTATTTCCGCAAATACTGCTGCAGGGTTTCCCAAGCAATGTGGGCCATGCATTGTCATTTACAATGATTTCGGCTCACGGGGCACGGGGGCACAGCGATCTTGTGCAACTGCCACGAACAGGCCGCAGCACGAAGCTTGTCCCAGAAGCACATTGCCGTCTCATGCCCCCAGTAACCACCGATCCTTGTATGTTTCACGGAAGCCCCAACTACCGATGGGTTCAGCAAGATTCGCAACCGCCGACTACAGACTACGGCCAAAAGGATCCCGAACCGTGCTTGCAGCAACCGCTGCTCTTCACACTCTTGGCGCAACCCGCTCGCACTGATGGCATGGCTAAATGCTGTCCCCTTGAATACTGGCGTCTGAAAGGCGTGGCCGGCGCGTCGCAGGAGCTGGACCCCCCTCCCGCGCACCCAAGAAAATCCCACAGAGGCAAGAAATAGATTGCCACAGAAATTCTGCAGGCTCTCGTAGAATATTGGCAACATATTTGTGATGGGAGCGCGTGCAATTGAAGTTGATTTGCGTAATCTTGCTGCAGACGAAGCCGTGGCAGTGTTGATGAAAAGCGGGAAAACGCCATGTGCTGCCGAACTGCGTTGCCATGGTGCTGTACAGCTGGGCTTTGTTTTGAGCCATTCCGGTAAGATCACACGGGTGGCTACAGGCAAGCGTTGCCTCGTGCAGCATGGGTGGACTGCAAAAAAGTTTGGAGCTGTTGGAACGCGTGTATTGGTGTCGCAGGCACATGGGCCGCCGAAAATGGTTTGGAAGCTGGCGACGAGGAGACGCGGACTGAATGTTATTCGAGTTTCCAACTGTCGGCTTTGTGCCACCTCGCAGGTTTTGGCTATTGATGGTCGCTCCTGGGACGACGTTGTGAAAACGGCGACCCTTGAAGATTTGTCAAATCTCCGGGGACCCAGACGGTTGGTCGTGCTGCTTGATTTGCATGGCTCCACACAGGTTGTTTGATATTTTCGTTTTGCTATTGCAATTTGTTGTTCGAGATGAAAGTGGAAGAAATGTTGTCCCTTGCTCACGCATACTGTGCTGAGGCGAGCATGGACAACAGCAGAAGACTTACAGGAGGCGGTGCGTCGATCAGTGGCGCCGTCATTGGCCAAAACACACGCTCAATTCAGGCCAGGGAGTCAACTTGAGCCTTAGTGTCTCAGCCATTTCATCCAAAGTTTTATAGGAAAGGTCACAGATCATGGAACTAAGGGTCTTGCGCATGCAATCAGTTCTCAGTCGTCATCACACTGCATGAGATGCCGTCGCTATAAGCCGATAAGTCGGCTGCAGGGAGGCACTGCAAGATGAGCGTCGGCGTTTCGCTTTCCGTGAGGCACTTCAGGCGGGTTGGGCACAGAACAGAAGGGACGGTTGTTGGCATGACAGAGCCAGGCGAGCAGACAAATATAATTTACACACGTTTCGTGGGCTGTGTTGGACAGTGCGTGCACGCCAAGTTAGGTTCGAAGAGAGCCAGCAGCGGGCGATTTGCCAGAGTTAGTTTCCAAACGCTGCCAGTATGCTGCAGTTCCACAGTCGTCCAGATCCCGCCATGGTCAGCGGGCTCACGGCCCTTGCTTTGATCATCAAAGAATTCTGGGAGCTGGTGTCAGGCGTGGAGGGTGCTCTGGATGGAAGGAGCATCTTCTGCATTTGCATCCTGGTTCTCGTTCGATGGGGCATGCTTGCCCAAGCACGGGAAGTGCAGAAGCAGCGTTTGGAACAGATGCAAAAGGAGGATTAGATATCGTGCTTCTTGCATTTCATCAAGTACAGGGAGACGATGGGTGAAGACTTGCAGGGTGGAGACACCAAAAGCAGTGGACAACGCCAGACGTCACACAGCATGGTGCCCCAAGTGGATTCGAGCTCGCACTGTCTCATGGGACAGTGAAATGCCGGCCGGGATTTTCGGGGCTTGTCTTGAATTGAGACCTGCCCAAGTTACCCCGAAGGAGTAGCAGCGAGGCTTCAAAAACCCGTCGATCTCAGTGCCTGCTTATCCGTCAAGAGTCATTGCTGTTCGGCGATCTCGTGGCATCCAGGGTGTCGCCATTTACTGCTTTCGAAGGATTTGGAAGGGCGCCGACGCTGAGAGCCACAGGAAGTCAGATCGATTTTCAAGCATCTGCAGCTGCCAGGCCCAGTTGGCTCACTGGCGTCCCAGAGACACATGGATGCTTGGCTTTCTTAATTCTTCAGAGGCATGTGTGTGTGTGTGGTTTCCTCGGGAACGGGACTTGCAAGCGGCTAGAGTGCGTTCTTCTCGAAAGTTGCTGAGGCCGTTCCCGGCTCTTCCAAAGGATGCAGTCGACACAGCCGCAGAAGTTGGATCCACGGAACAATTTTGGTTAACGGTTCGGTTTGTGGCGATGGGTTCATGTTTCTTGCTGATGCTGACCCTAACAGATGATCGAAGTTCTCCCCCAGTATTCTTTGTGTCAAACGATTGGAGCTGCATGGGTGAGAACATGTGCTTTGGGGGACTATAGAAGCGCCGAAGCAAGTTCAGACGAGGCTGACCACGCACAAATGAAGCTGGTGCAAGAAAGGTGCTGCAATCAGCTTTCTCTTGCATGCTGCAGTATGACTTTCGTTTGCGGAGGTGTGCAGCCTTGAGGACACCCCGCAAGCCTCGGATTGACGAAAGGCTTTGCGGTTCGCGACGGTTTCAAACCGAGGCATTGTTTCAGCGAAACAGAGGCGTGCAGACGGACATTATCACTGTGATTGATGTCTTGCATGCAGGAAATCGTAACTGAAAGATGGCCGGGGATGGCCATCGGGAGGTCGCCGAGCGGGGGGGAACAGTTCCCATGAGAGGTCCTGAGTCTAGCTTGGCTTCGCTATGATTTGTTCGGCAGCTCAGCAATGAAGCACGTGCCTGACAAGTATCAGCACAGAACCGGTAGACTTGAAGCTGCAAGGGCACCGTAAGTTCATTGTGTCATTGCCTTCCAGTGCAACCAAAGGGCGTTGCTTCACCCCTCAGAGCCTGGCCTTTCGTTCCAAGGTGAACTCGTGGGTTTCGGCACGCAAGCGCTGCCGCGAGTGACCAAGCTGGAGAGCGCTGCACGCAGGATCCAAGCACGGCCGCTCAGTGAAAACTTATCCTAATAGACTTGATTTGCTGGATGCTTAGAGCCAACCCGGCAGTGTGCGAGGTACCGCTGGATGAAGCTGTGGCGGCAGCTGGACACGGCACGTGAGCGTGAGGTCCCAGGTCCTTTTCAGAGCTTGACTAGGTTTGCACGGGGTCGCCTGATCGTGTGTTGATGGGAGAAGTCGGTGTACACTCAGTGCACGCGGGTTATTCGAAATCTCGGCCAGGCAGCTGCAACGAAGATCCAGGCCGCTGCCGGGCCATCCGTTTCTGCCGACGCGTTGAAGAAGAGAATATCCAAAACTGCTCCCAGATCCGAGCTGCAACCGTTGATGCCAGCGTTGGGAGGCCATGCACCGTGGCCGGCAAGCACGTCGCGGTGTTGCCGCACAGTTCGCAGCGTCAGCGGGCGGAATGGAGGTGAGTGCTGGAAACTGACAGACAACGGAAAAGACATCCGAACATGCGTCATCACGATACCGACAGTTTTGTACTCGGGGGACAACAGTTTTCGGGGTTAGCAACAATGTTATTCCCTGATGCTTTTGGGCTTCGCGCCCCCTGCCAGATGATCGAGTCTGACAGCGATCCGAAGGAGCACTCCGAGAGTGAAACAGGGAGCAGTGGACGCGAAGCTGAAAGTGGCAGACCGGCAACGGCACCGAGTGCACAGAGCGAAGCGGCAGAGCCAGCCGTGCAGATCCAGAAGAACTCGGGTGAAATAGTAATCTCTGTGCCATGATTCCATGCTTGCTGTTTTATGTTTTTGGTGCTGTTGTGTGTTTGATGGTTGTTGTTGGTGGTGGTGTCGGCGGTGGTAGTGGTTGTGGTTGTCCTGAACCCCCTCCCGTAGCGACTCCGACTGTTGAACGAGGGCATGACGTCGTGCTAGTGCTGTCTCCCCAAAACATGTGTCCAAACCCAATAGTGCGACTGAACAGCTCAGAACCTCGGACCATGTGGCTTCGCGCGTGACGGCGGGCGCAGACGCTGGCTTGGACGACGCCCAAGAGACCCGCGATCATGACTTCTTCGGACAGAGTGCAGTGCTGCAACCGCAGCCCGGAAAGCCCAAGCAGAAAGAGCGGCCAGCCAGGATTAGAGCTACTTGGCAAGGCAGCAGCTGGTTGGGCTTCCACTTTGGAACTGGCTGGTGTAGTCGCCACATGTGCATCCTTGCACATGATGCTCTGGGCTGGCTTCTGGATTGCGGGAATGCGACTGATGCTCGTAATTCTTGAGGTTGGCTTCAAGATTGCCGGAAAGTTGGGCTGATGATGCTCATGATGCTCGGTCCATTGCCGGAAACTATGATCGGGGCTGGCTTCGGGATTGCAGGCGTGTGGCTTGACTGATGCTCGTAATTCTTGAGGTTGGCCTCAAGATTGCCGGAAAGTTGGGCTGATGATGCTCATGATGCTCGGTGTTGGCTTCGCCATCGCCGGAAAGTGGCGTGATAATGATCGGGGCCGGCGTCGGGATGAAGGTTGGCTTCGAGATTGCCTGAAAGTGGGGCTGATGATGCTCTTGATGCTCTGGGTTGCCTTCGGGATTGCCGGAAAGTGGCATCATGATGATGATGATGATCATCATCATCATGATGCGCAGGTTGGCTTCGGGATTGCAGGCTGATGCTCATGATGTTCTGGGTTGGGTTCTCCATTGGCGGCAAGTGGCATGATGTTGATGCTCATGAGGCTCGAGGTTGGCTTCGAGATTGCTGGAAAGTGTTCCTGCTGATGCTCATGATGCTGGTTCCTGAAAGGCTGAGATTTGGTTGTCGCTAGCAAAACAGTTGCGAAGCTACCAAAAGTTTCTAAGGTTCAGAAGCACCCGACCTCGGGCAGCCTGTCTCCGCCGACCACTCCACAGCCGCTGAGCGTGGCTTTGACGGCCATGTCTCTTGATGGACCGTGGCCTGGCGGGGTGTTGGAGCCGCATGCACACGAGAATTCCGTGCAGAGCACGAAGGTCGGCTTCGGGCACAGACGCGGCCCTGGTGGCCGCAGCCATCCGGCTTCAGGCGGCAGAGCGGGGGCGCCAGGCCCGCAAGCGGGCAAGGAAGATGGCCGCGGAGTTCCTGGAGCCAGCTCCAGCCGTGCTGGAGCCAAAGCTGCTGGCAACGAAGGAAGACGCCGCTCCTGCAGACGAGGCCCGAAGATGGCGTTTCCGGGCTCAGACATTTGGAGACATGAAAACCTCAGTGCCAGGAGAACGAATCTTTGGTCTCCGTGGCCAATCAGCGACTCGGACGAGCACAAAGTCCAGTTGTGTGCCAATCGCCATGCTCGGTCTTTGAATGGCACCTGACATCACTGGATATAAAGGTCATTAAAGGTCGGCGCGGTGGCCCTGACCGAGAGCTGGTCATCTGTCATAAGTCATTTACCAGTGTAATGCCGCGTTTTGGTATCCGAGCCGATTCGCATTCCATCCTGCAGCTTGTCGATGACATGGTCGTAGTTCCAACGTGAGCCCCGGTGGGCAAGGAGCTCCCCGCCCTCTGTCTTTCTACTTTGAACCAAGACGTCTGCGCGTCGTCTTCCTCCTTAGTTCGTTACGACCTGTTTGTAGCATCTACTTCTTGACGCACAAATCGAGGGTTGTGACGATTCTTGATGATTCTTGATGGTTCCTTTCCGGCTTTCCTCATAACGGGGTCTCACGGCTCCATCCGTGCGGTGCTTGCACGTGCTTGCGAGTCCAGAGGATGTTGGTGCCGTTTCAGGGGTTCCTATCTGAAAGTCAAAGTGCCAGGCTGGAGCTTTCTGGCGATCCACCGAAGTCGGACATAGCGACTTTTGACCATGAAGACGAGCCGGAGGATTTGCACAAGGACTCCCGGCACCGGCACAGCTTGGCTTCGGATGGCTTCAGGATTCTTGCGTTTGGGATTGAATGTGCAACATTGCTGGCTATGGCTTTCGAGGTTCGGGTCTTTGACTTTGACTTTGCCTGTGTGCGGGTGACTTTTCATGTTGTGGTGGGGTCTCCTCCTCCAGGCCTCGAAAGTCATTGTGTGTTTTGGCCAAGTCGTACAGGCAGATGGCATAAATGGATCTAGAGTTCTAGAGCCTGCCAACATTAGAGGCATTATCCTTGGCGCTGTGGATGAGGGGAGGGAGTGACTGGAAAGCAGAGCCCCTGCAGTCCGGTGAGACTCTCGGCTTCGCGACAAGTCCGCAACCTGGCAGCACCATGTCGGTGACGGTGCCGTGTGAGAAATACAGCCAACCTTCACTTCAGAAGACCATGGGTCGCGAATCTGAGAGCATGGCAGAAGTCGGAGCAAGACGGGAACGATACTGGCATCATTTGACATGAGCCTCCAAACTGTCCTGCCCAGCAGCACGATGTGCCCGTGCTGATGCGTCCCCAAGCAGGCCCCAGCCTTTTTTTGCAGCGCTTCGCTCCCACCTGCGCAACACCTCCTGGATTGGTGTTCAGGGTTGGGTTGTACAAGATATCGGCACTCGGGGAATGCCCTATTCTCGTGCCACACCTTACCCGGTAACGCCGGCAACACACGGAAATAGATCCTAATCCTGCCACCACATCCGAACGGTTGACATACATAGATGCACACATCGATACATAGGAATGTGTATACACAGGGACATAGATACATGCACACATGCAAACCACACGCCTATCTATCTATCTGTCTGTCTGTCTGTCTGTCTGTCTGTCTGTCTATCTATCTATCTATCTGTCTATCTGTGTCTGTCTGTCTGTCTGTCTGTCTATTTATCTGTCTATTTATGTGTCTAACTATATTTATATACTCATGCGTCAGTTATCGGAATATATGTACACATCTCGCTCCCCGTAAATATGTACATAGGCGTATGCATGCATGCATGTATGTATGCATGTAGGCAGGCAGGCGGGCGGGCGGGCAGGTAGGTAGGCAGGTAGTTAGGTAGACATGTACGTACATGCATGTGTATATATGCGTGTGTGTGTGTGTGTGTATGTATATGTGCATGCGTATGTTTATGTGTTTCTATATGTATCTTATGTTTATGTATATGTATATGTAGACGTAGATGTAGAATGTATTCATACATACACATACATGTACAACCTATAAGCCACCACATAAAAAAAATCGATTCACATCTTGTGAGAACAAATATAAAACAAACGTCATCTCCGCCCTACAGGACATGCATGGACATGCCGTGGCAGTGGTAGTGTTCTACCCATTGATTATGTCAATTGTCTCGCCGCACTACACAAGTCTCCCTTCGGTCAGTCCCTATCCTTGCCTGGAATGGGGCTGTCCATTTTCCGGCTCTGCTGTTCCTGGTTCTGACCCTTTTCTGACTGACCTGTACGATTTTCTGTATAGCGAGCTTCTGATTCTTGTGAGAGGAGGTTGGCAGTGGTTGAAGGCGTGCAATTCATCATATCGACGGCCCAATTGGTGGTGCTTGTTCTGGCATACCTCCTTCAGAATCTAGCTGGAAGCATCAAAGGCAGGCCTTCTCGCTCCAGTCAGACATCTCCCCAAAGAGTTCGGATACGAAGGATGACAAGGCCCGCTTTGGAGATACTGCCGTGTGATGCCTGCAGCAGCTCCGGCAAAATGCTCGGATATCCCTCTTCAATTTTTTTTTGCCTTCAATGTTTTTGCCAGACGACAGAGCCGCCGGTCGGCTTCTTCGATGCAGCACCGGAGGCTGCTAAAGCTGCGGTCTCCGCCGTGGCCGATCCGTGGCTCGCCCAGCACGTCTTTCTGCATGGCTCACCAGGGTTGAGAATGTTTTAGTGATCTTCAGAAAGCTGCAGCTACTGTTGTTCCTCCCGAGGCTGGGACTCTCCGAGCAGTTGACGCTCCGGCCAGAGACGGACACGTCCAGACCAAAGCCGGAGGCTACCACCGGCAAGGGGGACACACGGCTCTGAAATTCAGGAGATTCGGATCGGGTCCTGGAAAAAATACCGACACGGATGTCCCAGGTTGAGATTGAAGGGCAAAAACTGGTTTCCTGCATTGGATGTCGTTTCGGCTTCTTCAATGCAGCACCGGAGGCTGCTAAAGCTGCCGTCTCCGCCGTGGCCGATCCGTGGCTCGCCCAGCACGTCTTTCTGCATGGCTCACCAGGGTTGAGAATGTACACTGGGCCCTTACCCGAGTAGTGCTCTTCAGAGAGCTGCAGCTACTGTTGTTCCTCCCGAGGCTGAGACTCTCCGAGCAGTTGACGCTCCGGCCAGACACGGACACGCCCAGACCAAAGCCGGAGGCTACCATCGGCAGCGGGGACGCACGGCTCTGAAATGCAGAGGATTCTTCTCGGGTCCTGGCAAAAATTCCGAAACGCACGGTTTTTAAGGATGCTTGCAAGTTGAAATTGAAGAACGAGCTGCCTGACGTCAAGTCTTGAAGGTTGTATCCATCTCAGAAATCAAGACAAAGACAGAGCCATTTCAGCAAATGTGAAGGCAGAACCCAACGTGGGATTCTTGGGTGCTGCGCCAATGTCCACCAAAGCAGTGGTCTCGACATCTTCTGATCCGCTGCTTGGCCAAAAGAGATCATTTGGCACATAAGCCGGTGACTTTCCAGGACCTGTGATCACAAGCCAGCCCCGGCTCGTACCACAGACAAGCTAAGTTGATTCAGAGCAGGATCTCAAGAGACCATGCAGCTGCCACGGATATCCTTGCGAGGTTGGGGCTCTCCGAGAACTTGGAGCTCCAACCGCAGCGTGGCTTCCGACTGCCGACGAAGGAATCCAAGGAAAAGAAGCTGAAGGCAAGAGATACAGACAAAGCCCGGGACAAGGACAGTGAAAGAGAGAAAGATAGAGACAAGAGCACTGACAAGGCGGGCTTTCCCTGGAAAAGCTTGGGATACTGGGTTGAAGCCTGTGCGAGGACCCAGGTCTGCGACCAGAGTCTGGTTACAAGCTCGCGACATGAGGAAATGTAGGAGCAGCCACAACGCGAGTGGCACGATTTTCCTACCTGCAGGAGCTTCTCAACTAGCATTTACTAGCAGCCTAAACTTGCTGAGGTAGTTCTGAGCACCCTATATATGAAGACAGGGACGACGCGGGCATCGCAGCGCCTGTCGTGGCTTCCGAAATTTGTTGGGTTGGATTGGGTTCATTTCAGTTCAGGTTCGGTAATTGCTCATCCGACCCCTGTCAGGTGAAGGTGGAGCCTCCCGGCTTCTTCGGTGTTGCGCCCGACGCCACCAAATCTGCGGCCTCGACTTCCGACCCGTGGCTTGGCAAGGAGGGCTTGGAGCTTCCGGAGGCTCTCTGAGTGTCGCTTTGACAAGGCTGGGCCTGTCAGAGAACTTGGAGCTCCAGCCGCAGCGCGGCTTCCGGCTCCCGGCGAAGGCAAAAGAAAAGGATGCGAAGGATGCGAAGGAGCCGAAGGAGAAGGACAAGGACGGGCTGAGTGGCAGGTTCATTCAATTAGATGCCTGGCTGGGCTGTCTCTGAATTTGGCGACACGGCTGGTTTATCCCAGGACACCAAGAAGAAGAAAAAAGACGACGAGTCTGAGCTGGAAATCCTGGGCTTCTCGCTCTATTGAAACAGGCCACTTGAGGTTTGAAATCTGGACTCAGCAGTTCCCAGAATTCGCCCTCAAGGCACCTTCAGAACAGCCGTGGGGATGTGATTTGCTCCAGCATGAGGTTTGGTCCGGCTGGTATGGTTCGGTTGTGGATCCACTGGACAGGTGCTGGCTGCCGAACCACTGCGCACATCACTCCTTCTCCGCCGGTGTCGAAGAGCCTCCGTTCCGGGTGAAGCTCGGCGATTGCTATATCACACCAGCTGCAGCTCATGTCAATTGCTTTCGCATGCCCTTCCTTGCTCTGTTCTCCCTCTGAGGATGGCCTTGTCCCTGAGTTCTTCAGCCCAGCTGCCCAGGCCTGGCCCGTGGTTTCTCGGAAGCTTCTGAGTTCCATTGCCCCTGCAGCCGAATTTAAGGTTGTTGATGTGCGAGCACTTTTTTTTGCCTGTGTCGCACCTTACTTTTGCCACGAGGACTCCGAGAGCATCGAGTTAGCAAGCTGACCGCTACGATCTGGAAAGGATCTCTTCGTCAGCCTGTGCTTGGAAGCGTCTTTCACGCTTGCTTCTGGTGTGACACCGGGGGCGTAGAGCCGACTCATGCCTTTTGATGGTTTTCGCCCGTCGGTGCTTTGGCATTAGGCCTCCCAGGATTGCAGCAGCTTCTTTGTCCATCAGTGCGATTGTGCACCAAGTGCCGTGATCGCTGGAGCCAGTTTCAATTGGAAGATTGAAGTGTAAATTTGTGTAAATGGTAGATGCCAGTCACAGTTATTTCTTGATGCCTTGGGAGACCATGCGGCGCGAAAACACAATGCATCCGTCCACAGGCGGGTCCCGTCAAAAAGTCTGCTTCGATCCCTGGACAAAGACCCCCACCTGCCCCTTCTTCCAGTCTTCGATATCTCAGACAGATGTGCGTGAGCGTAGTGAATCTCCTGGATCTCGGAAGACCGCTGCTTTTTTGCCCAGAGATGTCGTGGTTTGTGGAGCCCTGCTTGATGCAAGGTCCGATTCCGACAAAAACCCACATCACTCACTTGCACAAGGACGTAGGCCCCGCCTTTGCAGCAGGATGCTCGTAAACTTTAAGCTGCATCCAGCCTTCAGCCTGGGCTTCGGCCCTCATCGACAAATACGAGCGCCCGGAACAAGGCCTCGTTAGAGACTCCACCGTCTAGTCTTTGTTAAATTCTCATTCAGACATCAACGACGGGCTCCTGCCAGCGCGAACCACATGGCTCCGCCGGACAATGCGGGGGGCAATGTGCCTGGGACTCGCAAGCGGCCGCTAACACCCAAGCAAGAGTCGCATGTATGGTCCATGTTGCCCATCACGAATCGCATCCAAGGCTTCTTTGAGATTCTTCTTGAGATTGACTAGGGCTGGATTTAGAGCATTCGCCCCATCCGAATTGAAAGGTTACAGTCCAGAGGATCGACCCGAAGGTGCTTGCTGGAATGGCCCGAATCCAAGTCCAAGCAGGGCTGAGGATGTGTCCGAAATTTTCGATCTTCGCATTGGCCGTAGATGTGCCCCGCACCCGGCCATTCGAGAGCTTGGCCGAGGTGAACCGCTTCGCTACAGAGACGGGCAGCTTCTTGGAAGCTTTCGCGACCAGAGCAGAGGCCAAAATAAACCCCCCGCGATACGAGCCAGGAGGGAGTTCTTTTTCCTCACGACAGGCTGAAGAAGCCCGTGGTTGCTTCATGTTGCTTCCCTCCCGCCCCCTCGGTCCTTCCCTTCTTCCTGCCTGCCTTCCTGCCTTCCTTTGAGGCCAAGCTGATGAAGCTGGATCAGCGGGTCGAGCGATTGGAGAGGCCTCCCTCCGCGCCTCCTGGGACCGAACCTATACGGCTGCCCTTCTGTGTAGAAGTCAGACGTATCGAGGAACCATTCGGATAATCGGATATCCCACTATATGTTTCGGGTACGGGGCACACCGTTTTTCTCGTTGTTTGAAGGTTCGGAGTGACCGACAGCTGCAAGTGGATCAAGGCAACACCTGCAGCTGTGGCTCAACCTTGCGGTTGCATTGGTAAGCGAGAGCAAGCCGTGAAGCATGGACAAGTCGGTCCTTCGACCTGCGCTAGACTGATGAAGTCTTGTGTCAGTTCTTGTTAGGTAGGTTGACCCTCTTGTAGCCTCTCCCAATCGTCCAGACATTCCCGTAAGCTTTCGCGCTCGTATGCTGACCTACTCTGCGGTGCATCGCCGATGTCTGTGGATGTGTGTCCGGCTGAGTTCACCAGCCATCTTGTACCTCGGCTAGGCTCTTGCGACACTCTGAGTAACAGTGGTTCCAGTCGAGTACGTTAGAGGTGCACGGCAGGCAATGCGACCGCGGGATCTGGGTTCCAAATTTTTTATGCATTGCAGAAATGTCATCCAGCACAGCCCGGCATGGTTTGCTGGGAGACTGCTGCGCGTGCTGCAGAACACGGCAGACCGAGCCTAAGGCAGAAGAGGAGAGAGTCTTTCCCTGCACGCTGACCTTGTGCCGCCCTCGCATCTTGGCTCCCAAGTACGTCCGGGAAGCTTGGAAGATGAAATTCAAGAAGAAGCCTCGCGTTCAAAGTGCAGCTCGAGGCCTGGTCGGAGAGGAAGGCCTTCCCTTCGCAGAGGTGGAGCGGCCCAGCCGGATGCGAAGCCATGTTTGGCAAGGGCTTGTGACTGGTTTGGGGCCCTGCCAAACTTTGCATGAGTTCCCGGAATGAATTGTTTTTTTGTGGCGGCTGACGCCTGCCAGACGCCACAAAAATGCGGGACTATGGCCGTCTTCGTTAACTGACAGCCGTCACCTTCATTTTGGCCTTCCATGGGGGTCGTGCAATTTCAGGGGATTGTTCATTTTCACGAGAGTGTCGCTCCCCCTTCCTCTGACCGACTCTAGCTTGGGGAAGGAGTATTCATGCAAGTCTAAGAGCTGTTGGAAGGCAAAAAGTGCCTTGCGACAGGTCCGGCTTCGTTTTTACCCTTTTGATGCACCCGCCAAGGTACCAGGACAAAATCCACTCGATACAGGAGTGGCCCTGTCTCTCGCTGCCCTTCGCCTTTGGAGAGGGTGATCTGCAGGTCCGTGTGTGCCTTGGCTCAGGAGGAGAGATTTCAAGGCATTATGTCGAGAGCCGGATACGGAAAGCAATGGTTGTGGCCCAGTTGTGGATGCTGTTAATCATGGAGAGTCTGTACGTGGGGTTTTGTAAGTGGGACTATATCCTTCCATTCCAAAAGCCTTGCGGCTCTCATGCCCAGTTTCCTGGCCGATGATGAGGCTTCGTACCTTCAGGACAGCTGTTGCATGTCATTGAGTGCTGTGGGAGCTTGGAGGGCTTCCTTTTGACCGTTCTTAACGCCTCACAGCTTGATAAAGCCCAATAAAATCCCATGCTGAAGGTGGCTGCAGTTGTTGCGGGGAGGAGTTTGTTCGTGTGCGTTGTGTCCCTCTGTGTGCGTGTGAGCGCCCCAGCTCAAGCGAGCCAGGAGTCACATCCGCGTTTCGCAGTGTGCTGATGCGTGATCTGCAGGCAACAAGCCCATCATTTTGTCTCCGCACACACCTGAAAACTGTGTTGATCATCCACTCACTCAGCTTTGTTTCGATGGGTGGGGGGGGGGGCGTCTTTTCACAGTCTTTCCAACGAAGACGGGGCATATGGAGCGATGGATGCATTCCTCTGTGTGTGCCTGCTGATCGTTACTGATCGGAGGGCTGTGTGACCTCCTGCGTAGTCCCGACGCCGTCGCTGAAGTTTACGGGTCGTGGTCAGCATGAAGGTCTCGAAGTTGATCCTTCGAGACAATCGGTGCTAGAATCTGCTAGAAGTCTACACCCGAAACAGGGACAAGGAGTTCGTCGTCGTGTGGAGGAGGATCCCGTAAGCTTGCTTGCAAGGGAAGAAGAGCACTGCAAATCTACCGCTTTGGCCGAAGTACGCGCAGGCACTCAAGAATGAAAGCTGCCGATCGGACATATCCAAAGCGCCAAGCAACTTAGTTCTGGCCGGAATCCCGCTCTCCCTCTCGGCTGCAGGAGAAGCGCCGCCCCCTGGGCGGCTTCCGTGTGTCGCTCCAGGCAGGCAGAACACCGCGTTTTTTCGGTGCATTCAAGCATGAAAGTTGTGACATCCATGGGTAAGCATGCGAAATCGGAATCCAACGGCGCTACCTTGCACAAAAGTCTCCACATGTTCTGTGCCTATCCGGTTCGTGCTTACTCCAACTAACGTTTCCTTCCCAGTCGTCGAGCTGCAACATCATCAGCATGGATCAGTGCGCCAGTGCGCGCTTAAATTGCAGGACCTGGAGCTCCGGTCCATGACTTCGGGCGAGGCCTTCCCGACGATTCGTCAGTGTACTATAGCACCTGGCAGCAAAGCTGTCGCCTAGAAAGAGTGCCCATGTGTTTAGATTGACCCGTTCCAATCTGATGTCAAGAGTCTCTCTGAATCTGCGAAGCCATGCCATGCCGACTGACACTTGCGTCGGAGAATCACAGTGGTCGAGGTGTGGATGCCACTGTCACGCCGCGGCTGGGAGGACTTCCCCCACCTTCCTTAAGTTTGCATGCTTTGCTCCCAGATCTCCCATCCCGTGCTGGCCTGCGCAGAGGAGGAGGCTCAGAGCCTTTCGCCCATCCATCGGCGCCCTCTGGGCCCTTCAATGCGTGCAGGGCCCAGCTCTTGCACGTATGAGGGTTTTGCCATTAGAGACTAGGGAGCTTAATTATATCCGAGAGATCAAAGGCATTTTGCTGCAGCACCGCGAGAGCCTGGAGAAGCGAGTTTGGGCCCTCTCCGTTGCAGAAAGGCCGCGCCGGCTTGAGTTTTTGGTGATCGAGTATTGCCCATGTTGTGCTCGTGCTCGGATGCGACGGAAGCAGAAGGCGCAGCCGCCTTCGGACCTCCAGCAGCAGCTCCGTTGCTTTGGCCTCGTCCTCGGTGTGTCCGTGAGCTGAAGCTTTCTGGAAAATGTGTGGTGATGCCAGCAGGCCGGTGATGCCTTCGCCAGGAGGCTCCGTGCCTTGAAGCCTTCTTGGCCGTTGCTATGTCGGGGGACCGTCACTCCCTAAAGTGCTGGACAGCCCTAAATCCTGAGTCCAAGCAGTGTGCGGGCGGAGGCCAGAGGGAGAGGCATCTGAATCAGTGGCGCGGTGGCGGCAGAAGTTCGAAAAGCAGCAGGACGAATGCCGAGATATGAGGAGTATAAGCATTGCCTTCAAAGGCTCCTGCATTCCCAGATATTATCTTTTGGCCCGACTGGGTAAACAGAGATGCATCCTAACCTCCAGTGTCTGCTTGGGCTGCTTCCGGAGTTTGGCTGCTACCTCTATGCCATCTGCTTAGAGAGCATGATCAGTGTGTCGCAATCTCGTGTAAGAGCGGCTCATATGCAGGAGCATACCGAGATGTTGCTGAAGCAGCATGACGAGGCTTTGGTCATGGAATTCCTGGGTCGGCAGGGCACTTCCTGGCAGTTGCAGACTTGTGCAAGCCAGTGCTAAAGCCTGTTGCACATGGCATGCGGGAATGGAAAACGTTTTCTACTGGGCTATGCTCTGGGCTGTCGGAGACGTGCCGTGATGGAGGGACAGCTGATACGAGATATCTGCAGACATCTGCTTGCTTCATCTTCTGCAAGGGTGGAGGAGTGACATGTTGTGACGTCCGCAGCGGGTGGCTAGATGTTGCTTTCTACCATGCTACGCAGAAGGCCTGTTCAGCAGAATGCTTTTGAGTACAGCCTCCTCAACACCAAAAGAATGAACCAACGAGCCAATTCTGGACATGCGTTCAAGCTGCAAGGCATTGAGCGATCTGGCTCGAGAGGCGCAGCATCTTGCCGAGCAGCAAGCACGAATCCGGCCATTGTCCGCCAGATGGTTTGTGTGCGCAGCCAATACTCTAAGTCAGTGGCGATTGCAGTGCAGAAGTTTCATGATGAGATTTGTGCTTGCACTTGGTGCGTGAGTCCCCCAATGTGTCCTTTTGCAGATGTTTGTGACGGGATGTCCGTTTATAGTTAGTGAGCGATTGCCATTGCCATTAACGAAATCAGCCTCTGCTTCTACTTACTCTGCCTTCCTGACGTTCCCCCCTCACCTGCGCATATCATTTGCGGTTGCAATTTCCAGCTGCCAGCTTGTACAACGAGGATGGCAATTTCAAAGCGTGCAAGACTCAGGCATCGCGTGCAGAAAGCAGCCTCAGTGTCGCAGTTGCAAGAGGGGAGGTGATGCCAGGAGGCTCGAGCTTGTCGGCTTCTTGTTTGGATTAGGGGAGAGAGGGCTTGTTCCGTCGGTCCACACTGTTGTGATTCCACCGAGGTGGCAGACTGCGCCCATCGCCAAGCCCTGGCCTGCCTGGTAGATGCCTGCCTCAGGCCGGGAGGGAGGTTTCCAAGCGAAAAGAAAGCGTGAAAACGACAGCTGGTCAACACTACTTGGCGAGACCGGCAAGATCACCTCTCTGCATCTTAAGAGACAGGAGCTGGGCAGCCTGGGTCGCTGCGGAGACCCTAGGCTACACCGTGTCAGGATACGACAGCAGTACCTGTATCTTCTCAGGTCCTTCCACATGCAAAGTGTTTGGTTGAGTCCGACGAGCTGCTGTCCTGTGAGGCGTTGTTTAAATCAGTAAGCAAGCTCCTTAGCCCATTATGCTTTCATGTCGCACCTAGGAAACGCGAGCGCCAGTTTGAACAGGTTGCCGAGGACAACCAGGCACTGGAACTTTCGTTTCCTTGACTGGTGTGATTGGCTGCCTTCTTTCGGGCGGCAGTGCGAAGCCGTCAACTCTAATGGCTCTGTCAGCTGCCGAAGCCGGGCAAGGGTCTATGAGTCCGCCAAGTTCACGGCTCAACTTGAGCTGGTGATGCTTGTCACGCCTGCAGACACGAGGGCAGATGTTTCAGACACGGGGTGTCTGCATGGGTACCGTCTCTTTCGATGAAGGCTTTCCGGGACCGCTGCAGCTCCAAGCGCAGCGCAAGCCAGGCGAAGGCCAGTTTTCTTGGAACTTTCTGGCGTAAGCCTTGTGAGTGGGGAAGTAAGTCCGTCAGACGAGCCGACCACTGACCTGCTGAAGCGGTGACAGGTAGACATAGGAGTCTTTGCCGATGTCTGTGCCTGCGCAGAGCGGCAAATCGGAGGTTCGGCAGTTGCACTCAGAGCAGGAGAAGCCTGGCTGTTCCGGATACCAGGATATTCAGCAGGAGTCTAGCCGTAGGCAGTGTTCTATCTAGCATGTGTTCTGAGCAAAGAGCTTTTCGACAAGTCTGAGGCGCCACTCAGGCGCAAGTCCGCCAGATACACCAATCGATGTGCAGTTCGGATGAGGTTGTGGTTTTGCATTGCATGGAGTTTCCCTGGTATTTGACTGATGGGCGTGTGACTGACAAACCAGCGTCAGCCCAGGCAGGCGCAGTTGGAGGTCAAGCGACAGGCAAGGAAAGGACAAGCTTTCAGTGGAGTGCTTGGTCGCAAGGGCTGGAAGCGTTGGCTTAAGGGTTTTCTTGTAAATGGTGGTGTTTTCTGCTGGAATCTCAAAGCATGGGGATGATGGTCGGTGCCTTCAAGCCCGAACCAGGTCATTGATTTGGAGGAATCTGTATCCTATCGGCTAGTGGGTCTTCCGCGCATGTTTTTCTCGGGATCTTGCTAGGCTGGAGTAGATGGCTCCTGCAGTCGTTCAGCATGTCTTGACGTATTGAAAATCAGCTGCGAGGCATCACGCGCTGTAGGAGGAATGGTAGAGATTGGGTCCGGGGAAAGTTTAGAAGCCCTTTCGTCCGCAGGGGCAACTGCGCGAGCAGAGCTTGGCCATTTTGCAGTCGTGGCTGATGCACGGGCAAATGAGGCATGCCGACAGCACGGCTTTCGGGTGCTTTAGGCAAGTCTGCAGTTTTAACTCTGGTGCACCGCTGCAAACAAGTCCAGAATGACCTCAGGAACTTGAGCAAGTAAACTCGAAGCTGAGTTAAGGACCTGATGGGTTGCACTGTAACATGTCGAGTGATTCAAGGTCTCACGGATGCGTGTGCTTTGGCGCATGGGCACGTCACATGCAGCTTGGCATGATCAACTTTGGACTTCTCAGTTCGAGAGATTGATCATGATGATTGAGAGGGTGGGATTGTCTTGCCGCATGGCTTGGCCCTGTGTTCGACTGAAGTTTCTTTGGATGCCTCACGATATGCAGTTGGGACGGCTGTGGCATGGGCCTTGTGCCGCAAGCTTCTGCGAGGACATGCACTTTGAGAAAGAAGGCTTGCATGCTCATCGTTTTGTCCATGCGCTTGTTTTACATCATCTGGACATCTCGCCATTGCATATCTTTGCATACAGACACATACATACATACATACATACATACATACATACATACATACATACATATATATTTATAAATATATACACATACACACGCTTGCTCTTGCACATACGGATACAGTTAGTGGCTGATACTACTCCCCTGCTGTCCCTCAAGCCTCACTGACTTCACAGCCGGAGATGGTTGTTGCACAAGGTGTAGTGACTAGCTCCAGCAGCTGTTACAAGTGGTGACCTACTCCTCCGAGTCTACTCCTCTGAGTCAGGCGTCAGCGTGCCTTTCTCCTTCGCATCCATGACAAACAGAACACCAAACTCAGCCGGCAGCTTGACTCCATCAGAGTGGCGTATTGGTGGTTTCGGGGTCGGTGGGCGAATGCCTAGATGCATACTGACCAACACGAGGGTGAGGGTGCCCTAGCCACTCAGTGTCTGAGGCGGCCGAAGTGAGTTGTTATGCATGAATCGAAGTTTTCGACATCGACGCAGTTTTCGAGGCTTTGCTCTCACACAATGTGCAATATTTCCACAGCTTGCGGGTGAGTGGACGCGACATGTGGTCACACGGATGCAAAGGCTGTTCCTGCTCTCTGCCCTGCTGGCTTGGCGTTCTCTTTGCGGGGACGAAGCGAGCCTTGACGAAGAGGCTTAAAGGATTCAAGGCAGCACTGGTCGGAATGGACTTCCTGTAGCCTCGGTTATGCTGTGCTCGTGACTTGTATCTTCCGGTGACTTCGATTTTTTCCCGGACCCATGCATCAGTTACTACTACAGCAGGCTGCGTCGCTGGTGGCAGCTGTTGTTTCGACACTTGTGCCCCAGGTCATGGAGGGAAGTCGTGAACACTTGAGACGTCGTATTGCCTCGTTACAAAGAGAGATCAAACTGACTCACTGACTGGGTGCTGGCTTCAGTTCTTGGGTCTGCCTGTGGGATCCCTAACAGTTCCAGGACGAAGCCGAAGCGCAGCAGTTGCGAACCCAAGTGAAGCAAGGCTTGTTGAATGAAGGCAGCCGGTGCCACACGGGAACAGGAAACAAAGACACAGAGCCTGCAATCATGTTTTGGCGGTCCCCTCTGCTGGCGAAATTGGAAAGTCGATGAGGCTCGAGAGCCTGGTAGCACAGTGCCGGCAGAGAGAGGCACGCTTTGCGATTTGTTGCTCCAGCTTTGCGCGATTCGTGGCCTTATGTAAACGAGTAAGACGTGGAAACATGTGTTTTTCCTTTATGTATGTATACATACATGCACACACACACACACGCACACAGAGACACCTGTACACACACAGACACACATATACGCACACCCACACATACGTGCCTTGTACAGTGATATATTCACATCTGCAAATCTGAAAAGGGGTCTCAGTCTGTTTTCAGCAGTGCGGTTTTAGGCTGCTGATACGGATTGATGATTCGCAACCGCCAAAGCAGATTTGCCCAAATTGGCCACCATACGGCCCTTCAGATGAGCCCTAGCTCTCCCCAGTTCCGAGGCCATCAATCCAGATGGCAAAGCTCTGTGCAGAAGTTTCAAACATGACCGCAACTGTCCCATCCATCGCTCTTCAAGCGCCAGGGCAGCTGCACTCCCAGACCAGGAGTCCCTTTTGGAATCTCTGCAGAGACTGGCAGGCCTCTGCTTCTCGACTGGCAAGGGCCGCCTCAGCTGAGGTTTCTTGGCCCAGCATTGGCACATGCCGACTTGTGCTAGAGGGAAGTCCCTGGCACTCTCTCTGCTTTGGGCGAGGCTTTTGCGAGCTGGGTGGAGCACGCAGCACGCCATGGGCTACTGGAGGCTCGGAGCCGAACACCGTGGGCGTCAGAACTGTTTGGATGATCTTAGCCACCGAAGCTGTGCTGAAAGGCGGCTGTTGCATCCTGGGTGGATCACCTCGGCCGTGCTCGGTTTAATCAGGAGCCTGAGTTGGCACGCTTTGCTCAGCTTGTTTGTCAAAACGCGTTCCAGACTTTCTTGCCTGGTGTGCGCATAGTACTTGGGTTCGGCCAGAACTTCATCGGTGATGTGCAATGCACCGGTTAGCGAACTGTCCTTATGACAGCAAGCGTCCTCGGAAAGCGCTGCTCAGGGAAACTCAGCAAACCATCCCAATACGCAGGAGCTGGGTGGCGTTTTTCTCGACGTCACCGACCGTCTTGATGTCAAGCGGCTGAAGGACGGAGGTTCCGAAGTGCCACGAAATGCAATGGGCCCTCTCTGCGTTCAACTTTGAAGACCGGCTACCGCTAGGGCTGGAGTTTCAAGGATCGGGATTGGCGGGTGAATCGCATTCGGCGGTTGGAGCCCAAAGATACATGCGAAGAAATGGAAGGCTTCTGTGCAAGGCTCCATCGTGAAGATTCGGCTACCGGCTACTAAGAACAGATGCTGTTCGAACTATCTGCAACAGGTCAGCCAGGATCGCATCCAAAATCCTTCAGGAGTGGGCACTGCTGACCTGGCACTCAGCCGTTTGCGATGCGGAGGCGCAGATCCAGGCACGATGTCGGTATTCAAGCCGGTAAAAAGGCAGGGGCATAGTGGCTGACACGATCATATACGAACCATCCCGAAACCTGGCAGGTGTAGATGATGAAAGTTACACCGAGGCACTTCCCCTTCATGCAGAGCCAACAACTTCAAAACTGACACGCAAAAATCTGCAGGCCGAGCGCTGCAGCCGCAGCACTCGGCTTCGCAGGCGACGGGAGCTGACGCTGCGGGTGATGGCACCTGGGGAGAGTTGGATAGGGAGAGCAAAGTCGGACTCTTTTGAGGTTTAAGCCGTGGGAGACGGAGACGGTGGTGATCGGAGGTGGCTTAAGATGGGACGATTTGTTGAGCCTGTCGGCCCGACCCCGTCGGATTGGGCATCTTAATGAGCTGAGGATGCACCCACTGCTCTCCGCATGAGCGGCGCTGCGTGGTTCGCCTTCCGCCGCTGGCGGGACGTTGTGGAGGAGCAGTGCTTCCAGAAGGCAGGGGATAACGATTTTTGGCCCCGTAGAGCTGCGAGCATGGGTTTTGTGTGTCCGTTGTGTGTCTAGCTGTCTAGCTCACTTGCATGAGCTGCAGGTCTTCTCCAAAAAAAACACCCGCAATGCCCAACCTCCGAACAAGTCAGCGCCAGCGCTCCGGCCTGGAGGTGTTCACACCCTGGTTTGCACCTGCACAAGCCTAGCAGCAGAGTCCACGTGTTTTGTTTTTTGTTGTTGTTGTGGTCTTGTCCCCACAGCACCGTGCTGACCGAGGTCAGCAGCCGCCGACACTCCTGTCAAACCCCAAAGAAATAAATGTTGATTATCAATGGGTTGCGGGTGATGAGCAGGTTGTTTTAGTCTTGGGATCTCTGCTACACTGCGGGCTTCTGGGGTGAAGGCTTTGACTTCATGTCGTTGGGCTTTGACTTGGCCTGGCCGGTGGTGTTCAGGTCATGGAATCCCAGCTGACGCAGAAGGAGCAGGTGGGTTTTTTTGACCTTGTTGGAAGTCGGCTGCTGCCTCCAATCACAATCGCTCTTTCAAGAGCACCCTATTCGTTCCTTCGCTCTGGCTGCAGGAAGGAAGGGCTTGAGAATGGGAGAGTGCACCTTACGAGACGACCCGAACTCCCTGTCATCCAACTGCCATAGAGACTTGCAATTTCCGCTGGACTGTTAGGTCCTGGATAGACAGAAAGATGGATGGATAGATAGGCAGGCGTGCAGGCAGGGAGGCGGGCAGGCAGGCAGGCAGGCAGGCAGGCGGGCTTTGTGGAAGCAGGTTGGCCGTGGAGTCCTCACGGTCGCCTGATAGTCTCTTGCTGGTCTCATGGTGGTTTCGTGGTCATGGTCGCGGTGATCCTGGTGGTTGTGGTGGTGGGGGTTTGCTTGGTCGTCCTCGTCGTCGTCATGGTCGTCGCAGTGCTCTACCACCTTTTGGGTAGGTTGGTAGATAGGTAGGTCGTAGCCAGCCCCTGAACAAGCGGAGCGCACGGGGAGGCCCAGGCCGAGATCCTGAGCGCGAGGAAGGAGATCAGTAACTTCGAGTTCTCGGGCTCAGTTTACTTGCGTGGGTTGTATTTGCTTTTTTCTTCGTGAGGTGATGGTGATGGTAAGTGCGGTTCTTTACCGGGGTCGGTCGTCAGATTCTTTGTGGAAGACTGCCGGATGGAAGCGGGAGTAGCTCGGCAGGGAGGGCCAGTGTTTAAGCCTCGCGAGACCCATGTAAGCCTTGCAAGCAAAGCTCAGATTTCAAAACCAAAGAAATGAGATGAGGAACGCCATGGCAGCGGAAGAGAAGCAGTGGGCCTCCGAGCGGGTGGATCTTTGGGCACATCGGCACGATAGAGTGGTGGTCGTGTTTGAGAGGGAGCCTTCATGGTCGCGTTCCGATGTGGTGCCTTCACCCGATGCAAAGAACTCACCTGCAAGTCACGTCTTGCTTTGAGGATCGCCTGAAGCACTTGCGGGCCATGCTGGCAGAGAGCCAAGCAAAGCGCCAGGATGGGGGAACCATTGGGCCAACATGTGCATTTCCCTTTCTTTTGCGATGTCCCAAAAATCTCCTGCACCAGGAGCTCCACGAGAAGAGAGTGCTCTTGGTGCCCTGGTTGCGTCTGTGCAGATCACAGTCGACGATGACGGATTGCAGATCAAACCTTCATGCCAGATGTCGGACATTTTCACCAGCCTGATCCAGTGACCGATAACCACGAAGCCCCTGGCTTTTTCGGATAACTGAGGAAGAGAGAAAGGACCCGGGCACATGTGCGTTTAGGAAGGGAAATGCGGTTCGAGTTGAGACTTGGGCGTGGAGCTTAAGATGTTGTGCATCATTTGCCTTTGACATTGGCGGCAGCCTGCGTCTGATGAGATGGGGGGCCTTGGAGATCAAGTGAGGGCACAGACGGCAGGATAGATGTCCAGGCATCCACTTGAAATTTGGTTGGTTGATGCTCGACGGTGCTCACGATGCTCTGACTACACTTGTCAGTAGCGGACATGTCCGGTGATTTCTGTTTGGCTTGCAGCAGAGAGGGTCGAAGACCTATATGGTACTTCTGTGCAGTCCAACTTGACCACAAGCTTGCAACTCATCCTAGCTGAAGCTTCTGAGAGGTTGGTTTAGAGCTCCTAGGACCTAGGATTCTTCAGGGTGCAATTCTCCTTTGCCGCGGGCCTCCCTAACGGGACCCGTGCCCAGCATCCTCGGGCACAATGTTGCTCCTCGGCTGCAGCCAGTTGCCTCGCAGCTGCGACAGCTTTGCTTCTCCCGCCTACAACTGAAGCTCGGGCCAGGTTCTGCTGCTGCGCAGCGGCATCTTGATCCAGTTTGAGGTTGTGCATGTGGTTGGATGCGCCTGGTGCATGATAGGAAGCCAAGCCAACTGAAGCCAACCTCTACGGTGTTACTAGCATAAGCCTCCTTCGGCTCCTTCTTGGGAGCATGAAACCTGTCTTGTGCAACAGCCGAGGAAGAGGAGAAAGAAGCCAACAAGATCTCTGAGGAGCACTTCAAGGGTTTGGTGCAGAGCCTCGGCTGCCACAAGGCCCAGGTGGGCAGCCCAAGGGTCCCAGTTCCCATGCAAAGCGGCTGTCATGTGATGCAGCCAGGACCGCCCCAGCAATGACGGATCCGGATGCAGTCCCGGACACCTTCACCATCAAGGTGCCTGCACCGTGGGTTTCAGCAGCAGAGCTGTGCGCTCACATTCAGCGCAGCATCTGTGCGTTTGATGGCTCGTTCCGCTCCCGCTTTGGGGTAACACTAGAGGCTTCTTGGTCACTTTGCGTTGTATTGCATTGTACTGTCGTTTTGCAGTGTGCAGTTGTTTTGTGGCAACTTGCCGAGAGCTCCCAGCAGCCCTTGAGTCGCCAGAGTGCAGCCCCTTCGCATCAGTGTGACGACGCGGAACGTTGCCAAACCAGACTTTTCTCATGCAGTGGATAAGCTTCGTCACAAGCCTTGCCGCTGAGTTGTTGCCTGGCGACGGGAGGCATGGGCTGCAGGCACTGCGGCATCGTAGCGTATGGATTTGGTGTCGCTTTTGACCTTCTGAAGAATTTGGTTGCAGCTCTGTCAGACAGCATGTCCTTCGCTCGGGACACGTGCCGATTCGTGCAGATCTTTGTCCCATGGCAGGTTGATGCTACGAATCCCGTGTGCACCGTCATAAAGGACTCTCCGTGTTGGAGTAGTGTCGGTGGCAGAGGATTCGGGTTTCAAGTTCTCGAGAGATCCTATACACCGCGCTTCAGTTTACGGACGGACGACTTTCTTCCACAGCGTGGAGTACGGAGATGCGTTTAGTCTGGCCAGGAAGTGCAATCAGGGCACCAGTCTCGTGCTTGCTCGAAGGACATCCTGCCGAAGGGGGCCATCGACAATTGGAACCAGAACAAGCCAGACCACAAAGTCAAGAAGATCCTTGGCTCGGCGTATATATTATGTCTGGCTTAATTTCTAATACCCGGAAAGGGTAAGTGAGCAAGGATCGCGAATTACGACTTGCTACCTGTGATTGAACTTTCGTGTGGCTAGATCGCACATGTTCTAATTCTGACACCTTGCATGTTCAAAATGCACGCCGGCCGAGGCTTGATCGCATCGTGGAAGTGAATGGCATCAAGGGCCCGGCGATTGACATTGCCAAGGCGCTGAGAATACGACATTGGAGCCTCAACAACGTAACTCCATGCCAGAGCCATTCAGTAAACTCCATCTGAAAGAGGGCCCGTGGCATCTTTCGATCAAATTGAAAGGAGCAGCGCTGAAGCCTGCAAAAAGTTCATAAGACACTACAAGGGCTTTCAGGCAGTGCATTCCATGCCACAGGCGCTGGACCTTTCCGACACCTTGAACATCGTCGTACAACGGCCCGAACAGAGGTCTTGGCAGCGGGTCTCTCTATTTCAGCATTACGGGTGCTGGTCCACCACCCTGTAGACTATCTTCTCGCCCCACAGAGAAAATCGTTCAATGCTGAAGGATGAACATGTGAAGCTGTCTGCAGCGGACCTCTGCCCTGAGAGGGTTTGTGCGGCATGGGGAAGCATTCCACACACACCCTCCAGCCCGCTTGCGCTATTCTTAGCGGACTTTGGCATAGCGGGGAAGCCCGAATCTGCTACGCCACGCAATAAGACAGCCTTGGCATTAAGAGATCCGCCTGAACATGCCCGATTGAAGACTTCCTAGCCAGAACCTCCGCCAGGGAACTGAAGCTCCAACGCCCGGGAGAGATTGGGATGGTCTTAAACTACAAGAAGGCGCGAGTCGGTTTCGGGATTTTGGCCATTTGGCTCATGGCTTGAAGCTCGGCAGCCATTGGCTGCCGCAAGAGAGGAAGCGTTAGTATGAAATTTGACAGCAACAGCATGGGTGTTGTATCAGTACAGGACGGGCAGAGGTGTAGGAGCTTTGTGACATTGGGTAGAGATTTCCTATCACCCTCTCATTCTGTTATCTTCCGAGTCTTTGTGTTGATCCAGTTACTGTTCTGGCTACGGGCGCAGCTGTTGGTGTTGCAGCTTTTGTTCGTTCCTGCTTGTTTCCTTGTTGCTCTCGCAGTTGCTATTGCTGTCTGTTGGTGTTGTTGCTGTTGAAACCAACATAAACTCGCAAGTCCGTCCAGATTGGTTCAGCTGCCCCTTGGATTTCGAAGATCACACCAGGCGCCTTGGCGAGCAAAATGGGCAACGGGATTCACTGTGCAGTATCTGTTGTTGTACATCTGGTTTCGCAAAGTCTCTAGGTGGCAATCCGTGCCGGCTGCTGTGAGAACATGAGGACGATCATCCTCATCTCGTTTGGTTTGACATATTTCACTGTTGTTTATGTCGGCGGTTGGTCAGAGTTGTTTTTTTTTTCAGCTGGCTGGTGAATGGTCTCGCCGTGCGTTTTAGACTGTAGAACGTTTAGACAGCCGCTGATTATTGTCTGCTTCTCCTCCCTCGTCGTCGTCCATGCAGCTTCTCTCGCTGCGTTCTGCCACTGTTGGAATCATTGTCATTCGCGCGCTTATTATCGTCGCTCTCATTCCTCTCATGACAAGCAGGCAAAGTGTTGTTGCTCGTGCTATGGTAGCCCGGTTTCGCAGCTTGTGATGTGCGCTTCCCATTGCTGTTGCTGCTTCTTCAGGGTCTTCCTTTTCCTTTGCTGCTGTCTCGCTACCACCATGTTGCTTGTAACTTGTGTCTTGTTTGTTGAACCCTGTTCCTTGTAGCATGTGTTTCGTACCTTATTATGCCCCGTTGCGATTTGATGGCGACGCCGCGCCACGACAACCACCTCGACCACGACTGCTTCTACATAAGCGCTGTTGTGCTGCCAGCCATCACCAACACTAGGTGCTTTGTTGCTCTTGCGGGAACGGAGAAACACTGGTTATTTCACTTGCCTAAGGTCTGCTGACGAAGTGGAACCAAGAGATGCCGGACCAGGCAGTGGCAGTGTGTTTTCTGGAGGGCTCCGAGGTCGGAGAATCGAAGGATCAAGTTGTGGAGAACCCATTGCCTTTTCGGTGAGTTCGAGCTCTTGAGGGTTTTCAGGCGAGGGGCAACCATGTGCTCACTCAATGCTTTACCTTCCTTCTTTCTTGCACACTTTAAGTTTCGGATGCCAGTTCTTCCGAGCACGCAGCCGGGACTTGGAAATGTCCACCTTCCGGGTGGGGACTCAGGCGGTTCAGCTCCATGACCGTATCGTGGCCGTGAACGGCGCGCAGGGTCGACCAGAAGAGATGCTGTGACATGGCGGGAAAGAGAGATCAGGCGCGCCACGCGTTCCCCCTGCTAGAGCTGCCGCGTCTGCTTCATCGGCGATCGCATGCAAAATCATGCAACTATGGGGGGAAATTGCCTTCCTTGGGAATGGGGAAGCAAGTTTGAGCTGAGTTGTTGGCTTGCGCCTGTTTTGCCGAGGCTGAAGATGTGCCTTGGCTGCCTAGAGTGTGCCATCCCGTCCTATGACGGGAGTGCCAAAGCCCAAAAGTTCAAAGGATCCAAGGCAAGGAGCCCGCTGTGCTCAGTTGAATAGCAGAGAATGGTGATGTCTTTTTTCCTCCCAGCTGGTTGCAGACACTGTCAACAAGCTACGAAGTTCAAGGGCCACAGGGATCTTCGGATATCCTTTTTGGCTGCCCAAAAAATTGGCTTTGGTCTTGAGTCCGATGCTGCCATCAATGGGGTCGAAGAGTCCGAGCAGGATCCTCAAGCAGATGTTATCCCAAGCCCTTGGTGCCCTGGGTCCACAAGATTTTCAGTGAGCCGAGCCGGGAGGGCCCATGAACCCAAGTTGGCCCAAGTCCGAGAGAGCCTTCTGAAGAGCCCCTGGTCTCAGGAAAGAGTGCAACACCTTGCTGGAGCTGTCCGTCTTGCACTATGCAGCTGAAGACTAACGCTGGCACACCTGAATGTCTCGAGCCTACAAGAAATCAGCAACGGCAAATGTTGCGGTCATGCGGGGCTTGTCCTAGTAGATCATGGTTTCCAAAGCACACAGGCAAGGTTCGAGACAGGCCTCAGTGGTGCCCAGCCGGATCTTTTCACCCTGTCAGGCCTTTTTGACTTCGGATTTTCGCAACAATACTGTGCCATGAGTGCTAGCCGGTATAGTCGGCTTGAAGGGCTGTCGGGCTGTCAAGGCAAGATGGCGCAAGACTCCGTGCTGGGAGCACGCAGCAGTAAGATAAGCTGACCTTCTCCCAACACAAAATTTTATTGCATTTCTTACCAGATTCCGGGCTCTTAGCTCTTGTCTGTTATCTCCGCTCGGAAGGGATTCAGGTTTGCAAAGACCGGAAGCCCGATTTTATCTTCACGACTTTGGGATGAGATGGTGATCGGATTGTAGCCAGAGCCAGATTAAATTTGAGCGCTTGAGCCGCTTGAGAGCCCGCAGCATGGCACAGCATGGCATGCTGCAGTGGGGACATTGACAGCGGGAGCTTCGGGCGGAAATAACCTTCGTGCTTGGGTAGGCCATCGCCTCGAAGACAATGACACTCTCAACATCCATCCTAGTGCGTCTTTCCTTTTTTCAGGTCACAAGACAACCCCGAGAAGCTTTTGCGGCACGGCTTCAGTGAAAGTTGCCAATCCAAAGCATACTTCCCGGATGAAAACAAACATCACCCGTTCGGACGAAAACACACCCAGATGTCTCACCAATTATGTCAGCAGCGATCGGGAGCAGGAGTAGGAGTAACAGGCAGTAGGGTCAACAAGAGGAGCAGAAGCAGTAGCGGTGCAGAAGTAGTCTTAGTCACAGCGGCATTTCCAGATGCTGTGGTGGTGGCAGCGGTGTTGGTGTTGGTGGTTTGGCGGCGGTTGTAGTATTGGCCCGCACCAGTTCAGAACCAGAGCCTGAAGCTAGATCCCCCGGAACTTGGATGTTGTCGAGTCCTGAAGCTCCTGTCCGAAGATCGAATTTAGGCCATGGATGGTAGCATGTGTGATGTCTAAGGCCAGTTGACGACAGGTAAGTGAAAAGCGACGACTCACGACAGACCGAGTGCTTCCTATTTACCGTTGGTTTCGTGATGAATTGAAGGTTCCAGTTCGGGATGTGCGAGACCTAGCATAGCAGCGCAACATTGCATCAGCATGTGATACAGCGCAGTGCATGTTTGCACCCATAGGCCATAGGCTTGCAAAGACTTCTGGGTGGAGAAGACCTCGAGATCCCAAACATCGCTCCAAATAATTCGGTAAAGTTCTCCTAGATTCAGTGCTAGTGTGCTACTTTGGGCCGATCACGGGCGCTGTGACTGCTATGGTTTGACATGTCGCATTATCAGCTACAGTGCGCCTTGAAGATATTTACCATTCAACCAGACCTCACCGCAATGAAGGTCATCACGTCGGAGATGTTGTTTTTTCATCATTGCTTTCGAGCCAGTCTTCCGCAAACGAATCGAAACAGCGCAGAGAGGGAGAACGGTGTCAACCGGCCTACCAATCAGCCGCACCACGGCAGTAGCAAGAAGCCGCTTCAGAGGGCTCTCTTGCATCCGACGGCCACAGCTTGAAGCGACGCCAAAGTTCCGAAGCGGAGCCCGGCGTGCTCTTGGCTGAACAATACAGACGCACATTGGGAGTCTGGGAAGCGTTTGAGTTTAAGGGTGTCAGAACTTTAACACAGAACACCGTTGCGACCTGGCACGCAGGGTTCCGCCTCGTCGGTGATGGGAACTGCACGAAGTGCACTACCTCCCATCCTTCAGGTTTTGCGGAGTCTGCGCGGCCCATATGAAGCAGTGGGCGTGAACATCAGGTGCTGACAGGTGAGTCTAGGCAGCAGCCTGCAAGCCTTCGTGCTGCTCTCGGAGTCTTGGTCGTTGCGCCTCCGATCTGTGTTGATTTAGCTTCCGTTGAAGGCACACAATGAAGCATAGGTCTTCTCGAGTAGCTGCACCGGAGCCATTGACACGGAAAAGGCTATTGGAGGGCCTAAGCACATTGGCATATTGGCTACAGCTAGCGTCTGAACTGCAAGCCCACCGCTCTGTCAGCAGCTCCGCTCTTTAAGTCTGCTGCGGGAAGCCGCCCTTGATACAGGATGTCGAAAAGAGGACCGACACTTATGTACTTCGGTACACCCAGTAGCACTTTGTTCTCGGGGACGTTGCATAGAAGGTACGGTTGCAACATGTTCTGGAGGAGCCCTAAACTCCTTTTGATCAACTGAAGAATCTCGGCAGACATGTTTGCATTCTATTTCGACT